GAAATAATGAAAAATTTTTTTTTTAATTTTTAAAAAAATTTCCTTTTTTTCGAAATAACTCAAAAACAAAGGGTTCAAAATTAAAGGTCTCTTTTTTATAATATTTTTACTCTCTTTCAATTTTTCTGTAGAGCAAAAATTAACCGAGATATTACGTTTTTTAGTTTGCATTTGCGTGTAAGGATCACCTTCTTTGAGAACTTAAAACCTAAAAATCTCGAAAACGAAGAGTTCAAGACCCTTCAACCATAAAGGTTGATTTGTAGCTCTTGCAATTCCCTGCAAATTGCTTTTTGGAGCGATGAAAAATATTAAAAATTAAAGTTATTGTGAAAAAACGAATTGTATTATTCAGTGAAAATTGTCGGATCGTGTAAATGGCTTAATTTTCGAGGCATAATACACGCACAAACACACACACGCACATGTCCAAACAGAGGAAGTCGACAGTGATGATAGTTCTTTAGATGATATGTAAATTTTTGATAATAAAGTATAATTGTATAAAATACAAATAATTTTTATTTTCCCTTTCACTAATTACATAATTTAAGTTTCGAGTTTTAAGTAATCTTGTTGAATTTAGTAATGTATCGTTGAGTGTTTCGAAGCGGGTAAAAATTCTTCAATTGCTCATTAAGGGTTGTTTTTAAGGGTTGAAACGTTGCAATGAATCATCAGTAGTATTGTAAACAGTGATTCATTATAAATGCTGTGAAGATCTGAAAAATTTGCTTTATTTTCTGCAATAAGGGTGGTTTTTAAGGGTTGAAACGTTGCAATAAATCATGTATTATTTCATAAACAGTAAAAAATATTCAATTCTTCATTATTGCTCCGTCAAAACATTTCAAAGCCGCGAAAACTAATTTTTGTTTTTTTTTCCTCATAAAGGGTTGATTTTAAGGGTTGAAATGTTGCTACAAATCAAAAATTATTATTCAGAACATAAAAGAATGCTTATTCTATTGACACAACACTTAAATCTATGATTTTTACAATTTTTGCAAGAAGAGGTAGTTTTCACCCACTAAAAACAATAAGCACACATTATGGATATGTAAGTTTTGTAAAGGAGGGTGAGATGAGCTTACTCACCAGTTTTTATGAAAATCGTGCGTGTGTCAAGAATTCGGAGGTAATACCCTATTTTTACCGTTGATTACTGGACTATGATAGGAATGGGTTCAAGGATGAAAAAGAGCCGGTGAACGGGTGAATGAACAATATATAGAAGTATTTATTGAGATTCAAGAAGGCCAACAATAAAAATTCGAGATTAGTTTGTCTAATCATTTGCTCAGTGTTAGTTAAATGCACCTAATTAAGCTTAAATTAATCTAATCCATAAATATTTGACATGTAACGAGTATTATACGATATTAGTTGTCCAATAATATTTTATTTACTTTTTAAGGCATTGCTTTTGGTAGAATAGGTACGTTCTGTATTGCATGGTGCAAATTATTTTCATTATTAATTGCCCTAAAATAAAACCGTTAATCCTGTAATCCAATTTTTTTAATTCACAAATAAATACCTTTGGGTTGTGAAGGATCTGCCCAGCCAAATTTGATAAGAGACCTCCCATACTCCCCAATCCACCAAGAGACCCCTCTCCTCCCACTTGAGGTAAATGGGGCTGTTGGGGTTGTTGATAGGGCTAAAAAAAATCCTTTTGTGAGAAAGTTTGTAGCAGTGGCAACCGTTGGAAATTAAAGTGGTTATATTTTTATGATGGAGTGCGAAACTCGTACCGGTTTTTAGGGGATGGTTTCTACACCACATACAAAACTTTCATGGGAAAATTTCAAATGAAATTTGGGAAACAAAAAAGAGGTGTTTCAATCTGAGATGTCAACGCAAATTATTGGAGTTCCCAAGTAAGACGATTTAACTAATATTACCTTTATTCCAAGTTGTTTTGTTTAACCGCTGGAAGGCATCTGTCAAAGCTGGCGACAATTTTTCGTCTTTTTTTTTTTAATTAACGCTATATTATTATTTTTGTAAAAATACCACCTTTTAACGTAGTAAATGAAAGTGATAATTGTATTTACAGAAAAATGCAAAGAATCCCACCCTCAAGGTCATAGGTTTTTTTTTTGGGCTGTTTTCCAGTTTTCTCTTGTAAATTTTGTTTATTTTTAACAGTACCTATCCGCACGATTAATTTTATATTTCGTCAACACCATTTTTTTTTTTTTGATACAAATCTAATTTAATTATGAAAAATGTTACTCATTTGATAGTAAAAATGAAATTATATTTTGTCAACTTTGGAAATTTGTAAATGACTGAACACAAATGTGTAATAAATTTGAATGCGTGGATATTAGGTATTCTTATTTGAGGGGCATAAAATTAGATGAATTTTATGAAAAACTACTATTCTCGTAATTTGCAGAATGAGAAAAACTTTAAACAAAAGTGTTACTGAAAATGGTGATAATTTCCAATAATTTTTGAGAAAGAACACTCAATTACGAGTTTCTAACCTCCACAAAGCTTTTACTTCCTTTTAATCAAATACATTAAAATCTTTACTTCCTTGCCAACTTTGACGTCCTTTGGAGGCGAAACAAAACGGCTTTGGTTAGAGAAAAGTTTACTTATACATATCTAGAAACCCAAAATTTTCGGAAAAATTGAACATCGCAAGTTTTCCCACAAAAATTGTGAAAAAAAATTCAAAAATTTGTAAAAATTTAATTATTGTACACAGGGTGATTCACAACTTATCCAAAAAAATTTTAGAATAGATGCGTTGTGAAAAATGGAGTCGATATCGTAAATTTTCTAAAACCCTTATAGTTTTCGAGAAAACATTATTAAGGTTATAGTATTTTCAACATTTATATTGCTCTATATTAGTATTATCATTCTTGCGATAGTGTTTACAATAGTTTTTCAAGTGTCAAAAATGGCTTAAGTGTATAGCAACTCCGAGTTGATGGATATCGTTTTAATTTATGGTAAGGCAAGACGACTTTTGTGTTATGGTGAAGCAAGACAACATTTGTGTTAGTTCATAGAAACTGCGTAAGACGGGCCCAAATGTGTTTACACATCGGCACACAAAATTTTGAACAGTTGTACAAAAGATATGTCGAATTATTTTATTAATTAAAACCACAAATTAATTTAATTAATTAATAATAACAATAGCGTCAAAAGCAGTTGAATTTGCTGATAACTTTTTAATTTTTTTTTAATTGTATTTGTCCCCCGTACATTCAAAAACATTTTTTTCTGGACAAGTTCTGAATCACCCCGTATAAAAAAATAACTTTTAAATAAGAACGACTGTTAAAGATTTTGAATCTGTAGGTGTTCCAAGTGAATTTGCAAAATAATGTATTTTTCTCTTAGTTTGCTTTTATACCGAAATTTCATTAAAAATGTAAAATATTGTTTTTTTAGTTATACAGAGGGGAAATTCTATAATTATTCGTCATTTTCTTCTGTTATTTTAATTAGAACATATTTACCTTTTCTATATACAGGGTGATTCAGAACATATCCAAAAAAAAATTCTGGATGTAAAGGGGACTCTTACAAATACAATTTTGTAAAGAAAAAATCAAAAAGTGCAGTTCGAAAATGATTTAAAAATACACTTCTGCACGGCACTGGAAACTGGTCCACTGTAAAACCCGACCTCACACAATGCGACCGTCAAGGCGGCAGTGATAAAAACGGGCAAAAACTTGAAAGAATTTCGCAAGGAAAAGAATAAATAAATTTCATAGCAGCTATTTTATATCAGCAAACTCAACTGATTTTGTTCAAATTCATTTGTGGTTTTAAATAATAAAACAATTTGACATACCTGATGTTACTGTTCAAAATTTTGTCCACCGACGTGTAAACACATTTGGGTTCGTCTTGCCCAGTTTCTACGAACTAACACAAATTCTGTCTTGTTTCACCATAACACAACACCATAATACAAATGTTTTCTTGCTTCACCATAAACTAAAACAATATCCATCAACTCCGAGATGCTATACACGCAAGCCAATTTTGACACTAACTACTAAAAAACTATTATAAACATCGGATTTCAGTATTCGGAGTCGTTGAGTCCACGTGGCTCTTCACGCGTATTATAAATGACACTAGACTACAGCTGTCCAGCTATGTAATGGTTGAAAGCACTACAACTTCAATAATTTTTTTCTCATTAACATTAAACACACCACAGAAATGAGACAACCCCCAAATCCAAAGCCAAAGGCTGTGCGGAAGGGGGCTACACTTGAAAAAATGCGGACAAACACCCATTATCCATCGACATTCCCAGTGCCGACACCGGGGATCGAACCCGGACCAGAATAGGAAGTCTGGCCGAGAAATGCTTGCCACCGCACTCTCGACTGACTGCGCTACCGTGGCGATATAAGGATTTTACAAAAATTTTTTTAACGATATTGACTCCATTCCTCATGCCGCATCTATTCTCAAATTTTTTTGGATAAGTTGTGAATCACCCTGTATTTATATTTTGTTAATTTGTGCTTGAGCTCTACTAATTTGAGATACAAGAGCATCCCGATCATGAATATACAGGGTAGTTTCAGATTTTAATAAAGAAGCATTACCAGGTGATAGAACATTCAATTTTAGGTAAAACCTTTCATGTGAATGTAAAGTCAATCCAAGAATTTGTGGTGGTCCGCGTAAAATACTATAAAAGTACCAAATATGACAGTCATATTTTTCACAAAAAACTCACAGGGTTATTTACATTTCCTTGTTGATTAGTTCCACTTGGTAAGAGTCCCGAAAGAAGGTTCTCAAGCGGACCCCTATTTTGTTGCTGCTGCGGTGGTGGACCAGGATATTGTCCATAGCTCTGGGAAATACATTACCATTTATCCAAGTTGAACAGATTTTTTATGTTGTGATCTAAGACGTGTGTAAAAACAAATTCCAGTTTCTATTTTCTATGTCAACATACTAAAACTCATGCAACACTCACTATTACTCACACTTGATTTTGGACTTCCACAAGACGTACATTGTGTTATCAACGTTACCATTAAAAACAACCTTACCTGGTCCCTTGGAGACGTCGCCATTGTGAATGTAAATGTTAAAGAGGACATTCTTTAATTCCGATTAACATTGGAGTTTTTAAGACAAGTAACCTCTCGGGTAAGTTCGTAGACGACTAAAAAACTACAAAAACTGTTCCTAATAACGAATACGGCTCTAGATTTTCACTCTAATTCGAAAAAAGTAACCCAAAAATGATTTTCTGGGATCAGATCAGATTTAATTAAAATGTAAATACATAATACTGTCAAACGGTAGGATTAAAAAAAAGAATGTTCTGGACATTTAGGATCATGTACCTATGTGTAGAACTTTTTTTCATGTATTTTTGATCTGATGCGGTTGTACATGTTTGGTATATAATTGAAATATGTTTGGAAAATCTACAGAAGATGGATTTTTAGAGTTGGGTCAATAAAGGTATAGACCTAAAAGTCTTTGAATGGCCACTTATTCTTACGTTAGAATGCTAAAATTTGTCAAAGAAAGTAAATAAAATTAAACTTTGCAGCGACATCAAATGTACAAGAAAGCTAAATTGGCTAAAAAAATAGCAAATCGCGTCATCTGAGAATACGTGTCATTCCCTCTCCACTAGAGAAAAAACTGTTTTCCTCACTTATTTGTTTAAATAGAGAAGTTAGCTAATAAAAGTTTTTGACTCACGAGACGAGAGATGTCTTGTAATATGTTCCTTTAGACAATTTTACAATAATCTCGCGGATAGGACTTTTTTCGAGGAAAAATTTTATTTGCTTGGCCTACAAAAATAAAGAACAAGAGAAGAAATAGACTTAAAAAATATTTTCCAAGTTTGTACACACCCTGTATAATATACAGAACAAAGGATCGAGTTTTGGAAAATACGACATGTGAAGGGGATTATAGAGAGCCTCGAAAACAGTTCACAGTATATGCTGACACATAAAGGACCCCGCCACCTTCATAATTCCTAAAGGAGCAAACTTACTTGTGGACCAGGGTCGGCGGGAGCTTGATTGTAGAATTGTGGATTTCCAGGCTGCTCGGGCCTTATGTGCGCGTTTTGATTCGCTTGATCAGGATTATTTGCGTTTGAGAGCAATCCGGAAAGGAATGTTTCCAGCGGTCCCCGAGATTGCGCACTCTGCGAGCTACTTCTCGCAAAGTTGTCGTCGGGAGGAGGCAGTTGCGGGTATATGCCATATTGCTAAGAAACACCGGAGGTTTAACAATGGTACAGTTGTCGTAATGCATTCTGTTTGATCAAAGTGAAGAGTCACTGAAGTGATGGAAGTTTGTTCAGGAAAAGATCCAGGTGTCATCCGAAGATGTAGGTGTTATTGTAGTAGAAAATAGTTTAGTGTTTAGTGTTTAAGAAAGCTTAAAATTAGAAAATTAATTGTTTAATTATTCACAATTTAAAAACAAAACAAAGCAATTTTTTTATATGTTTTAATACATTTATTTGTTCAGGTATTTTTGTACACTTAAAAATTTTGGAATGGGGCAAACTTTTGCATTAAAATAATTAATCAACTGCCAATAAGTGTTGTAAAATGCTGGAAAATTTATCTTAGGACAAAATACAAATGAAAATAAACGAGCCCAAATGCAAAAGACTTGAGCATTTACGTTATATCTTATATCTGATAAAATTGTTATAAAATTAAGAAAAGCGGGATAATTTTATATTCTTTTATCCTTTGCAGTATATTTTCATTTATTAATGCTATAACAGCACCAATATAAGCTAGGATAATAGCCACAGGAAAAAGCATATAAGATTCAGATCGGATGGTCTAGGAGGCCATGGAATGGGCCCAATCCACTTCATTCGGTAAATTTCTAATTTCTAATTTCATAATGCGCTGTCCCCAAGATGTGGACCCATACCATGGCTCTCTAGATCACCAGATCTGAATCCCGTGGACCGTTTTTAGAAGCTATTTGAAAGAATATGTTCATGCATACTTGTTGCTTTTAATAAAATTTAAAATGATGTAATCTTGTATCGTTTTTCAATAACTACATCAATCTGTAAAGGTGTGAATTATGACACGCCCTGTATACCAATATCAATTAAGTATATTTTCTTCACTGCATTTTGTTTTGAGGAATAGTTCTAGTAAAGGTAAATATAATTTATTCCCGAATCCCTATTAGCCCAGTTACTGTAGCTGAAAATATAGTAAGACCTCCGAATTTTTTATAACTGCGAGGATTTTTCTCAAAATTTAGAATTAGGCTCATCTTACCCACCCACTTCAAAACTTATATATGCGCTAGGCTTTTTGTTCTTAAGGAGTGAAAACCACCCCTTATTGGAAAAAAAAGAAAAAATACAAATTTAAGCATTTTATGTAACCAAATCTTTTTTATTTATGCAGTATGAGTAATTTCATGTGCTATCTAACATGAAACGTAAAGTATCCCAAATTTTCAACCCGGAAAAACCTTTAAAAACCAGCCCTTTGGATGAAAATAATATAAAATTTTTTTCAACTTTAAACGTTTTAATCATGCATTTTTATCAAATTAAAATTGATTTCTTGATTCAAAAATCTCTTTTATCGATTGCAACTTTTCTACCCTTGAAAAATACCCCTTCTTTCGAAAATAAAATGAAAAAATATTATTGAGAGAGTAGAAACATTTTAAATGTGCATTCGTATTAAATAAACATTTATTCCCTTATTATAATATAGTATAGTACTGGTTTATTCGAATATACACATACTAAATACGTATATATACAAAAAAAGATCTTAATGCTTCAAAATTCTTGTTTGACCTAAATTTTCCTAAAATTATCACCTATACACGTGTTTATTTTTTTGACGATAACTTTCTTACTTTTTAAGATTTTTAATCGCACAAAGGCTCATTTTGCAGGGAATTGTAAGGGCTACGTGAACTGTTGAGTTAATCTTTTTTAAACTCTTCATTTTTAAGTTTGAAGGGTTTTAAAGGGCTAGAAAAGGGTGGTTCTCTCATTCATATGATAACTTAAAATGGCGAAGTCTCGATTAATATTAATTTTAGAGGAATAAAAAATAAAAGCAAAATCTTCGGCAAAAATAAAGCAAAATTTTTTTACTCTTGTATTTTTTTCGTACATCCTTTAATTTTTAAGTTACAGCGTAAATCTAATTTTTTCAAAAATTTGAAAAATTTACATTTTCAAAAATTAAGTTTTTTTTCAAAATCATGCTTTGTAAGTGAGCCCAAGACCCAGAACATATTCTTAGAACATAAATGAAGAAATCTGTAAATGAATTGCATTCAATTTTAATTCTGTCACCAAATGCACTGATTTGTTTATTGATTTTTTCTTAAAAAAAAAATGAGACTATCATGTTATTTCGATCATATTTCCGTTAATTTTGATTCTAAATACTTTTAAAACAGCTCATTTTAGAGGTTTTTCAAAGTACTTTAAAAAAGGTTCAAATAGTTTTTTTTCCTAATATTTATGGTTTTGGCATTATTTAACGTTAACTGGTTCCTATTTAGTTTTTACCTAACATATAATAATGTTTAAAAATCCATAACACGGTTTATATTGCAATTAGAGAAAAACAAAATAATAAGTACTATTAGACTTGGTTTTTTATTACCTTTCTTTTTGTTTATTACAACTTTTTCGTTAAATCCAATGGTTTCACAGTTATTTGCAAAAAACTGTCCAAAAACAAGCACTTTTTCAGTAAAAAATCAACATTTTCGATGACGAATTACTCGGAAAGTATTGGATTATCCAAAAAACTTTATATAACATTTATTACTTAAAATTGACTCCTCTATCGATTCCTGTGGTTATTTTAGGCGTAAAAATTTCCACCCCCAAGAAGGGGTGGGAACCACCCTCAGGGCAAAAGCACATTTCGGCACTATATAAGTTTTGTTCCTTGAGGCATTCCCCACATTCAGTCAAAATTTCACGTCAATCGGTTCAGTTATAAAGAATTCGGAGGTAAAAACCCTGAGTAACTAACCTATATATCAGGGGTTGGCAAGTAATTTTAGGTGGGTCCGGATACTTTTGAAAATTTTTAACGCGGTCCAAAAAAAATATTCTAATTATTTTTTTATTTTAATTTGGACTCAAATTTAATCTGCTTACTAACCATTAAAAACTCACACACTCACACCATTGTAAAATACTAGAAAAAATTATAAGACACTTAAACGTAAAAAAACATTTTTTAAATAATTTATTTCAGTAATTTATACTTTCAAAAAATTTTGGCGGTCCAGTATTTTACCTTTCGCGGTCCGGACCTGGACCGCGGTCCGCCAGTTGCCGACCCTTGCTATATATTTTTAAAATACTGAACAAATAAAAATATTAAAGTGCCACAAATGAATTATTAAAAAAGTAAACAACTATACAAACTTTACGTAAAACCAAACAAAACTTACAGCATTTTGAGGAGCGTAACCCGGTTTCTCTCCAGTCGACAATAAACCACTGAACAGTTTTTCGGCAGCTCCACTTTTAATAGCCCCCACCAATGCTTCCTGTGCTTGTTCTAAAAAGCCTCCAAACCCTGATTCTGATTGCGCTTGTGCCTGTGAAAATTAATTTAACTCTGATATTTGACACAGAATAGAAAAATATTGTATATCTCACGATTTTGTCCCCAGGAGGAGGAACTCTTTTATTTGTAAATTTAGAGAAATTGTACAATTTATAAAAAATTCTCCCACCCTTTCCACTGTTTTTTAAGTGGCCTACTTGCCTTTTCAAGTAATAGAACAAATTTATAGAGGGTGTACGATTTTTACAAAAATAAATAAAATACAAAATGATTATTTTTGCTGCTTTATAAGACGTACATAATAAAAAAATAAAAAATAAGTATTATTTAAAATTATGTCAAGTTCAAGACCTCTGCCATCGATCTAGTCTAAGTGAACTACATAATACCCACCCACCTCATATGATATGACAACATACGATTTTTTTTTTTAATATTACATTATTTACAGTATGTCGGCAATGATTTTCAGTTAATAAATTTAGACATTATTTTTAAAATGAAATAAAAATATTTTATCCCGAATGTATATAAAATGCTACTTACACCTGGTGGAACTGGGGGCCCATATTGTCCTGGTCCACCGTAAGGTCCCTGCGGCTGAGGCTGGTAATTGTTGGGCGGAAAGTACTGACCGGCGTTAAACTGCTGCGAGGAATTAGTGTTCAACGGGGAAGGTTCGGATACCGGTTGGTTTACAGCCACAGGTACGGAAAGTTCCCAAGAAACTAGCGTTATGTTTACGTCCCCATCGATGAGCAAATGGGAGACGTTTTCGAAAGGAATTCTGTGGGGAAACTCGCAAAAATGTTCCCCATTAACTGCCACCTGGAAACATTTATTAATTCTTTATACAGTGTGGTAACTAAGCCGAAAATGGTTATATGAACATTTGCAGATCATAGTTTTCGAGATATAGGGCGTTGAAATATAGAAATATAAATAAAAAATTTAAAAAAATACGTAATAGGCAATAATCAATTTATGACATTACGTTATTGTTAATTATTAGAAAATTATGTTAATTATACAAATGGAACTGCTACTGCTGGTGTAACAATATTTTACCTTATAGTCTCGAGTATCCGTCAATATAAGGATTTCGAATGTTTGGCCAGGGCCTATCTTTAGTGTTCCTGCCCCCTGTTCATCGCCCCATTCGCCATTAATATAAGAATTTCTAGCTATGTAACCTTGACTTATTCTAATGGATATATGAAGCGCCGTGTCGTCTCTGGGTTTAGCATTGGGACCAGTTTGCAAATTGATGGTGAATCTAAAATGGGATTGAGGATATACATTATTATGCAAATCAAAATAAGAAGTTAATTTAATCACCACACGTCAGAATGAGGAACGGCCCTCTACAATAGTAATTTTGTTAGCACATGTTTACAAGGAAATAAAGTCTAATCATTTAATTTCTGTGTTATTTATTTTAAATTCTACATATAAAAATTACCTACATCTTACTATTCATTCCAATCTTAAATATGTTTTCTGTTTTCTGATGAAATTTCAAAAAATCTCCCATTTTAAAAAGGTTTGCCTTCAATGCTTTGTTGCCATGTTCAGTATAGTTAAACAAATAAAATTTTAGTTCCTATATAACCAAATAATTAAACTCTACAATAGTGCTTGTGGTAACAGATAAAAATATTCAAATTTTTCACTCCTCTCTTTCATTTCATTTTCTGCATTTGCCGAAGACGTTAGACCATTATCTGTTTCGTGTTCTGAAATTTCACCTATTCCTTTATCTGTCCTTGTATAGTGGTTTTAGCACAAAACACATCAGTTGTGCGATGATGATTATAACAGTAATATTAATGAAAAATTATTGACATAGAGTTACAAAAAATATACTGACAGTCTGTAAACAACAATGAAAAAAAAATATTCAGAAAAAAACAAATGAATAATCAAAATATAGACACTTTTAATAAAATATTATGTTCCAAATTTATTTGTTAAAAATATTTGTATTCTAAACTGGAGATCTATCTAATTGACTACAGATTATGACAATTTGAAGAAGTTTCACTTAACTACTGAAATTTTTTGAAAACCTTAATCATCTTTAATTCACTGATCTCATTGACTGACTGGTAAAACACAAATTAATAAACACTAATTTTAAAGGCTCATGGGTTTATTATAATGGTATGTTTTACAAGCAAAAAAAAATTGAATATGTACACAAGTATTCAGAGGTGCCTTCTCCGATATTTAAGGCAGATAGCTGATACTTTCGTAACGTGTTTGCTTAGTTTTTAATTTAAAATAAAGAAGTATACTACAAATTAAAAAAACAGAGAATTATAAAAATACCCTCTATTTAATATTTCTAAAATATAAATTGAATAATTAAATTTCACCCGATTAGGTAATTCTTTCAGATAGAATATAGACATTTCAATATCAACATAACATATACCTATCTATTTGAGGTAGCGTTACACCCTGAATTCTGCAAATTTTACCAGGTTCCAATTTGCCTGATACATTACCCACATATGGAATTTCCTTAAAAAAAAGATAACAATTAATTCACCACCATTACTCTATTTAGCACCACTTACAGGATTAACTATTAAATCTGACATTTTCAACAAGTATAATGTTCCTGTATATACAAGAGAAATATTTAAATAGAGTAATTTAATGACATCATTTCTATTTCAAATATCTCAAGGACGAGAACAACTGAATCAATAGAACTTTTCTCTGTTTTGTAGTGATGGGAGAATTCGAATGCAAGAATCGCCATTATTCTATGGCTAGAAATTGGCCTCAATGATTTGGGATCGAGGGGGATTATCCCTCTTTATCCTGCCTCATCTCGTGTAGGCCTGGACAGCCTTCGTAGGTGGGCCCCATCCGTCGTCTACCCCGACCGCAAATGCGGCCGGTGTAGGCGCTTTGTGGGACCTCCTTTTGTCCTGGCTGGGCCCCGCCGGCTAGGGCCCTTTCTTCTGGCGCTCTTCTTGCTTCGCCGGCTCGTCTGTGTAAACCCCGGGGGTAGTGTCATGTTTATGTGTGGTATGGTTGGGTAGGGTAGTGCGGCTATGCAGCCTGGGATGCGCTTTGCTAAGG